TTGTTGATATAATTTCATTTATTGTCTCCACAACAATACATAATTAAATAAATATTTTTGTGATTGTACTTACAAATAAATGAATCGGTGATTGATTAGGGATACAAAAAATCATACCTAATTTTAACAGAAAGTTATTTAAGCAATTGCATTAAATCTGAATAAATGTGTTATTATTTTGTGTTGATCAATCTCTATTTGTCAGCTAAGTAAATATTTAAATGTCACAGTGTGTGGAGAAAATAATTAAACGCGAATAAATAAATAAAATGAATATTCATTGAAATACTTTTTAAAACTTTTGGATTAAGTCTCAAGCGTAATTGCAGTCTGTTTAATCGAGTGGAGCTTCACCAAAGTCTCTGACAAACAGTCATTTTATTGTACCGTCTTATTCGTCGTTGGATTATTTTTTATTGAAACAATCTGTCACTGTTGGTTTTAATTATTAAATTACGCCAAAGAGTACGTGGTGATTAAAATATTCCCGACACAAGTTTTAAACAGTATTGAAATTTATTATTTTATTCCCGCGATTAAAATCCATGAGTTAGCTGACAATGGTTAGAATATTCTAAAAGAAGATTGATATTTTATATTTTTCGATCTGGAATAATAAAATTGTATAAAATAAAAAATGAATTGGAGTAATTTTTGTGGATTTAAATGACCCTTGAGTGGTGATCATTTAAAGTAAAAGAGTGTATTTAATTTATGAATTAGTAATTTAATAGGGATTATTGTCTTAACACTACTGAGCTCTAAAGGCGTCAAGGAGGTCCTGATAATTATCAATTATATTTTTTCCGATAAAACACACAATTGTTATTGAATTAATATTCAATTTTCTCTTTTCTTTGATTTCGCTAAGTCGAAAAAAAAAATACATAAAATGATGTCTAAAAATCTCAAATGACAATTAAAGCAGACAAAAGTGTTGGACTCTGACCAAGTTTTTGGTTATAACCCAAAAGAAAATAAATAAAAAAGGTGATAAGTAAAAGGATGGAGGATCTGAAGAAACGCGTGGAATGGTGAATACATTTCTTTGGCGGCACTAAATCACGGGATCACACAGGTCCCAACGAAACTCTCAGCCGAGTTTATAAATGTATCTCCCACGCCCTCCTCTGTCTGCTAACAGTCGTCCTCGCTCTCCTTACTACTTTTTATTATTTATTTATTTACATTTTTTCGGCCCCCGACTTTTCAACTCGCGTCCTTTTATTTTATTTTTCACACTCTTTCTTTCTACATAAGCTCTTCGACTCAAGTATAAATGTATAAATGTATAAATGCAAGTATAATCCTGCCGTGTAAGTGAATTCTCGATTCAGAGTACGATTTTAATTTTTTTTATGCTTTAATACTACAATAAAAAATTTTTGACGCTGTTATAAATTGAAAAATCCAAAAATATGTCTTTTAAATATTTTTATTTTTTAATTATTTTTTTTCCGGCAAATAAATTTAAAAAAATTTATAAAAATGTCAATTTTATTTTCCAAAAAAAATTTTTTTATCAAAAAATTGAAATTAAAAAAAAATTTTTTTTTTTAAATTAAAAATTGTTTTTTTTTTTAATATGATTATGATTATAATTACAATAATTACAAAAAGAATGTTGATTATGCCTGAACTTCAGAGCCGAAATAATACCAGGGAGAAAGCGTCAAGTGAAAAGAGAAGAAAACAGTCAGACATAATAGAATTTTGATTAACTGTCGTCTAGACTTAGACCCTGAATATAAATTTATGCGGGTGTATGTATAAATATAAATATATACATAGACAGTAGCAAGTTGCTACAAATAAATAGTTGGTTGCATAAATAGACGGTAATGTAATTTTAAAAATTAATTCGTTGGCATATTAGTGTGTCTGGTCGAGTATATATACGTTTATAAATGTTTTACTTTTGTACATTAGTCTCGGAGAATATTTAGAATATTTTGTGTGGGCTAACACCGCACTTTACTCTCTCTCTTATTCGGAAGCATACAGTGGATAGAATTAATCAGTCCGCGTCATAATTCATACTTCAAATTACGCGGATGGCGGAACTCGTCCACGATGAGACGAACAGACTTACACCGCGATATAATGCAGACATAGACACAGACATAGACTTGCTGGGTATGACCGAGTGACTGCAGTACAAATGTAAAATAATAATAATAATAATAATAAATTTGATTGACAGTTTCTTATAGACCATAAAATTATTTTTGAAATAAATACTCACGCCTAGAATCTGAAAAAAAAAAAAATAAAATTTTGCTTTATTAAATAATGAATTTTGTTAAATTGCACTGTACTTTTTTAAATATTGACGTTTTTAAAGATATAAGCTCATCTCGATGTTACTCTCATCAAGAGCTTTCATTTGAGTACCTACATGCATTTTTGATATATTTTTCATATATACATATATATAATATATATAAATATATAAAATATATGAAAAATTGATCTGGGTACTCAAATGAAAGGTCTTGATGAGTATAACATCGGGATGAGCTTATATCTTTATAAATGTCAATAGTTGACAAAATAGCAATGTAAGTTCTTAATTATTGACATTTTTAAAGATATAAGCTCATCTTGATGTTACACTTATCAAGAGCTTTTATTAGAATACCAACATGCATTTTTAATATATTTTTCATACATACATATATATAATATATATAAATATATAAAATATATGAAAAATTGATGTGGGTACTCAAATGAAAGGTGATTAATATAAATAATTGTAAAACAAATTTTTCTATTAAAATGAAATAAGATGAGATTTCAGTGGCATAATTATGAGAAACAAAATATGAGATAAGGATGGAGAAGAAATGTAGTATGTAGTGTGTAGTATGTACATTAAGTATATAATACGCATGACCACCCGCACCAGACACTTAACTCGACCGGTGTCACATGTTTATAAATAAAGTATCAACGTAATGCTGTTCTCGCAACTCAAGACTCGGAGTATCTCATCTCATCTGACTCGGCAGAAGCTGTAACCCCTACACAAGAAACCGAAAGATTTACGAACTCCCGCGCATAGTTATACCGCGTAATATAACTAAACTGTAACACGCGTCGACTGTGAACGCGGAACGGAATTCTTGGAGACGGCTTCGTTGGACACGCTATTGTGTCTCTTTTTAACTAATTGGCAGTTTTTCATTATTATTATTATTTTTTAATGTCAGGGAAAATTTTTAAACTATGAATTTATTTGTATTTTTATTTAGTGTAGTTGTAATTGATTTTTTAATAACGAATTTATTTTTATTAATAATAAAAAATTATTTTTATCAAAAGTTATATTTGATTGTATTAAATTAATTTATTTTCAAAAGAAATTTAAAATAATTAATGAAAAAAGGAATAGGAATTAATTATTATTCTGTGTACGTATTTATTTATTAATTTGACAGTATGAAAGAGCTCCAAAATAACTCGAGCTTGATATTCTCGGCTTTCAAGAATGACCAGAATATGACGAGTTAGTGAATGAAAATATGATTGCTGAGGAGGAGAAAGGGGAAGGAGAGTCTGAGAGCGGAATATTTGTTTAATCTCATTATTCTGGAAGTACCTGATCCTCGGTGTTGAGTCTGGCAGATGCAGATGCAGATGCAAATGTAAATGCGAGTAAGCAAAGTGAATGCTTAGAGTAACTAAACGCAGAAATAGCTGTCGCTCATTCGCATAATAATATTATATATACACGCGTACACTGAAAAGTGAGGGAGAAGAATCCGTGTCCAATGCAACAAGCGTCTTGTCGTTTCACAGTAGACACTCGACTCTTCTCAACTAATATAAACTTTACTCCTGTCTCTCGTTTTTTTTTTATTATTATTATTATTATTATTATCATTATTATTTATATAAATGTTAAAAAATGATCTATATTATGATGAAAAGTATTCAGGCTACATTCGAAAATGCTCTATCTTTAGATACATAATTAAGAAATGACTCTGTATCTTGAGAGCTATTGACATTTTCAAAAATATAAGCTCATCCCGATGTTACACTCATCGAGACCTTTCATTTGAGTACCCACATCATTTTTTCATATATTTTATATATTTATATATACTATATATATGTATATATGAAAAATATATCAAAAATGCATGTGGGTACTCAAATAAAAACTCTTGATGAGTATAACATCAGGATGAGCTTATATCTTTAAAATATATATCATATATATGTATATATGAAAAATATATCACAAATGCATGTGGGTACTCAAATAAAAGCTCTTGATGAGTGTAACTTCAGGATGAGCTTATATTTTTAAAAACATCAATATTTAAGAAAGTACAGTGCAATTTAACAAAATTCATTATTTAATAAAGATAAATTTTATTTATTTATAGTTCACAAGCCACTGCAGTCACATAGTGACTGCAAGAGGTTGCTAGTATAATTTAATTTTTTCTGCAGACAAGTACGAGCATTTGAGACAGCTGCCCACTTGCTCTTATCATGCTGTCTCTGTTTTCTTAAAATTGAAATTTAATAAAAAAAAAAAAAAATAACGAAAAACAAAAGCGCGGAGTCCTAGTTATGTTTTATTTTTTATTTTATTTAATGATCTCGCTATCTCTGTCGTTCTCCATGGCAACCAAATGACAAACGATGTTGATGTTTAGTTGTTGAATAAACAAAGTCATTGGCCATCTCAACGCAACAGTCACGCGATCCCGAGTTCATTCATTAATTTATTCTAAATCATAAGTAATCCGTTATTTTATCGAGGAATTTATTATTTTAATCGTTTAATAAAATGTCACGAGTATTTCGATCTATAATTTAGTAAATTAAAACAGTTTTTATTAAATTAAAAGTTTAAATAAAATAAATATCAAGATAATTGATCGCTGCTACCAAGAGTTCGGGAATACAGAAGATTATTTAGTTCTCCGGTCGCTTTAATTGCATTTATTATTTGATTTGATTTAACACGGAGTTTATCTGAAACGGATCAAGATGGTGAAGCAATCGCCCAAGATGACGAAGCTCGTCGTCTCGGCCATCAAGAACCTCCGCGATGTCCAGGGGTCTACCACCAAGGATATCCTGAATTATGTCATGAAGGAATATAATTCGGAGCCTTCGCTCGAGCGGCGGGTGAGTTTTTTTAGTTTTTTAATTTTTTTTGGGGTTTAAATGTGAGCAGGGATTTTTTGGAAATTTTTTTTTTGTCCAAGGGAATTTTTTGGGAATCTGTAAAGCATGAATTTTTTCATTTTTAGAGAATTTTTTATTTTTTTTGGAAAAAAAATTATTTTTTTAGGTTAAAAGCTTTTTTTTAATAACAAAAGAATTGAGAAAAAAAATTGTTTTTTGTTTTTTGAGATTGAGAGAAATTTTTGAGGTTAGATATAATTAAAAATTGAAAATTTTATTTTCTTTTAATTAAAAATTTTTTATTATTGAAAAAATTAAAAAATAAAAATATCTTTTGGATTAAATTGAAGAATTATTGAAAATTTTAAATTTTATGAAGATTAAAAATCCAATATTTGATTATTTAATGATTGAAATAATTTTTATTAGATCAAAAAATTTTTTTTATTTTCTAAAAACTTTTTTTTTTGAAAAATTTCAAATTAAAAAATTTAATTTTTAATTTAAAATTAAGAAATTCCATTTTTTTAACGATTTAAATAATTTTTACGACATTAAAAAAGTAATTTAACAGAGAAGAATTTTTTTTTTAAATTTGAAATTTAAAAAATTAATTTTAAGTTTAAAAATTAAAAAATTTCATTTTTTAACGCTTCAAATAATTTTGACAAAATTAAAAAAAATATTTTAACATAGAAAAAAAATTAAATTTTGGAAAATTTACGAAAATAATTTTTTTGACTCCAAAATAAAACTCCAAAAAATAAACCAACTATTTTATTTTCCAGTTACGAACAGCGCTGAAGCGTGGCATCGACTACGGCATCCTCGTGAAAAAGGGCCCGCACTACCTCCTGAACACCGAGCCAGAGATGTCGGTAGCCGAGCAAGCCCCGATGGAGCGCGGGGGCCGCAGACGAAAACGAGGAAAAAAAGGTCGCCGGGGAAAGAAAGGCGGTCGCCGTGGCCGCGGCCGCAAGCGTCGCGGAGGAAAACGCAAGCGTGGAGGAAAATCTCGCGGGCGCAGGCGCCGTAGCCGTCGCAGGAGACGCGGAGGTCGCGGAAAGAAGATGAGGAAGCGCGGAGGAGACGACAACATGGACATGCTCCACAAAGAGCCCTTCGAGGCCGCCCCCGTAGCCCCCCACGGAGACCCCGACGCCCCGGTTGGACCCCAGACCTACGATCGCCCCCGAAGCCGCAGCAGGTCCCGACAGAGCCGCAGCAGAAGTCGAAGTAGATCCTCTGGCAGCAGCGACCGAGAGAACCACGATTCCCGACGACAGGCCGACTGATTTTTTTTTTTATAAATCTTTTACATTTTTTATCACCTGTACACTTTTTTATCACCGTCTTGTTGAAAATTTTTTTAGCCTCGATAACGGATTTTTTTTCCATTAATAAAACATCTATTTTCTCTGAATAATTATTATTATTTTTTTTTTATTTTTAGGTTATTATTATTATTTTTTTTTTTGGAATTTCAGCTTGGATTTTTCTCAATTTTAAATTTTAACAGTAAGTTCATTTTTGAATAAATTATTAATGTAATTATTATTTAATTTAAATTAAATTATTTCATTTAAATTCAATAGAATAAATTTTAATTATTTTGGTTATATTTAAAAAAATACTTAGAATATTAAAATATAAATTTTTATAAGAACAAAGCATTAAAATATCAAGAAGGTCTATTTAAAATTCATAGATAAAATAATAGAAAATTTAATGAGGATTATTTAGTAATTTTTATGTATTTTATTAATAAAGATAGACAATAAATATTTATTTAAAAAAAAAAAAAAAATTGTTTGATACGAGGTTCGATTAATTATAAGGATAACCTAAATATATATTGAAAAATTATTCAGTATAATAATATCAGTGAATTAAAAAAATAATTACGCTAAAGCATTATTAATTTTTCTCGACTAAAATATTTATACATTCTTTTTTTAAATTATAAATTTTAAGTAAAAATTTAAAAGCTTAAATTTTATTTTAAAAAAATTTTAATGGAACATTTAAAGTATGAAATTTATTTAAAAATTTTTTTTAAGTAAATAATTTAAAGTATAAAATTTATTAAAATTATTTTTGGTGATTTGATAGCCGGTAGCAAATGATGAGAGTAAAAACGATACAAATTGAGCTGAGAGTAGAATTGCTTTAATCTTTTAAAGTAAATATATAATAAGAAAGGATGTTAAAGGCTGACAAATTTACGAGAGTACGGTAACGATTGCTCTTGGGTGTTATCTGCTGGCAGTAACGGATGTCCAGTAATGCTGAGTGGATGGCTTCTTTATATTATACATTATACATTATATATTATATATTATATATTATGCAAAAGTTGGTCTCGAGATGCCTGAGGTGCGCTATCACCCAACAGGTAAATTTTGTTTACGAATTTACCGAGATAAATTCGCGAAAGGTTTAATAAAAATCTTAACGGGAGTTTGTAATAATAAGGTAGTAATGTTTAAAAACATGGACGCTGATATGGATATGGACATGTTAAGTGTAAGTGTGATAAAGGGTGTGCAAGAGGATAGTGGATACCATCTCCATTATTTTCACGCTGATTCAAGTTTTATTTCGAGGTGTCACAGTCACAGTGGCGTGTTCTCACGTCTGTTAAATAAGATAGTGTCAGGTTGTGATATCGTTTGGTAGATTTACGTCGTCCCGGGACGTCAAGTAGATCCTCGACGGGCAGGTTATGGACCCAGGTCACCGCGAGATTAGAATCCATGCATGAATTTCTGTGTATAATTTTAAGGAAAAGTGCTTTAGATTAGATTAATTTTAAGTTAGAAGGGTAATTTTTAATGACGGGGATTAATTAAGTTGGGCGAAATATTGTAATTAAGGTTGAAAAAATATTTTTTCGTTTTTAATTGGAAGCTTACGATAAAGTAATTGTAGCAAATAGCAACCTTGCAATAACTATGTGAATTGTGAAATAAAAATAAATAGAATTTTGCTTTATTAAATAATGAATTTTATTAAATTGCACTGTACTTTCTAAAATATTGATCTTTTTAAAGATATAAGCTCATCCTGATGTTACACTCATCAAGAGCTTTCATTTGAGTACCTACATGCATTTTTGATATATTTTTCATATATACATATATATAATATATATAAATATATAAAATATATGAAAGATTGATGTGGGTACTCAAATGAAAGGTCTTGATGAGTGTAACATCGGGATGAGCTTATATCTTAAAAAATGTCAATAGTTCACAAGATACAAGGTCATTTCTTAATTATGTATCTAGAGAAATATACTGGTCACAAAATTTTGCTTACTCTCTTAATAATATAGATAATATAAAAAAAAAAACTCTAAAAACACAATAAACACTTAAACATTATTATTATCAGTATCGAGGATAAAATCAGTGTAGTCTGTAGTAGCAACTGCAGAGGTCACGAGATCGTCCAAAGTTGTCGAACAGTTCTTTAGGTTATCTTTGAGAGCATCAGAAATTAAAAGTATAAAAAATGCCATTTGTCTTTGTTCCATCCGCAATTTCTTTTATTTCAGCTTGTTCAATGCAAATAACGCAGTGACAAAATATTTTTGTTCTTATCATTTTTTTGTCTCGCTCTTTCTGCAGTGCACTCCACTACAAATTATTTCTTAGGGTTTTATTTTAATGACATAGCGGAGAAAATAACAGGCGAGACCGCCTACACTTGCCCCGCAAAAAACGACACTCGAGTGTATGTATAAATTCACCTTCTCAGCTCACGTCGATGCAGGTGCTTCTCGCTAACTACATATCCACCTTCACCTTTCTTTCGCATTGCTATTATATTACGTTATATTAAAAAATACCGAGTTAATTAACTTAGATAAATAATTATCGATAGCCCACAGCTGTATGCCGTCAAATTAATTTTTATTTTTTAAATCAATGGGTTACATTATTTTTTTTAATTTTATAAACTTTAAATATAAATATTTACTATTTAATTATTGTCAAAATTGTTGCGTTATTTGGAAATTTTATATAAAGCTACAATAACTAATTCTTGGCAATAAATTTTTCTCCACACGTCAACGCAGAGACATTAAAAAAAATAATTTTTATTTGTTTCAAATGTATTATCAATATTTTCAAGGTAAAATGATGATTTTTAACAAAAAAATTTTCCACAAGTAATTTTTATCACGGAAAGAATAAAAAAATTATTAGTTTTTTATTGCAATCCATTATCAATATTTTCAAGGCAAAATTTATTTATGCTTGCGATTTGTTCACTTGAATAAATTTATTTATAAAAATTATCATGAGGTAATTTCGCTGAAAATTAATAGGGAATGATTGTGATAAAAAAAAATCTTCTACATAAAATTATTTCTTTACTGGCAATTAAGGATGTCATAGGTCTGCGCTAATGTTCTACCAGCCGTTGATTTTACAATCAATTATCACCTGTATGCTTTTCAATAACAGTAATTATCCAGAAAATTCACTGATAATTAAGGTTGCCGGGTCATTGACCAAAGTAATATATTAAAAACATTAAATGTATCCAAGAAAATGAGTAACTCAGTTAAAAAACGATTCCCGTGTTATGTACTAATCAAAGTTTATAAGACTAGTGCTCGACTCCACTAGCACAATCCATCAGTCAGGACTAAACAGCTAACCTAACCCGTGATATGTGCAGCAATGAACCCCATACCAAAGACTATGCTTATAATTAGGGGTGTGCGAATATCGTTCGAATCGAATCGAATCGAATATTGATATTCGAACCGAATAATTCGAATTTTCGAATTAATCAACATTCGACGAATAATTCAAAAGAATTCGAATAATTCGAAACTTTTCGAATTATTCGTAATTTTTCGAATTAATCGAATTTTTTCGAATTGTTCGTCGAATTTCGAATAATTCGAAAATTCAAATTATTCGATTCGGAACGAATAATTTGTAAGTTCGAATTATTCGCACACCCCTAATTTTAAACCCTAATCTAGTTAAGTCTTGATAAGTCTTGATAGCAATAGCCACGCGGACATGTAAAAATGAAAACTCTAAATTTTTTCCAAGTTACTAATCTAATCAACTGTTTGGTCTAGAATCCTTGTAGAGAATGTGAAAACGATTCGATTGATGCATAATAATGATTAAAAATGAACTTATCGAAAATTTTAAACCCTAGTCTAGTTAAGTCTTGATAAATCTTGATAGCAATAGCCACGCGGACATGTAAAAATGAAAACTCTAAATTTTTTCCAAGTTACTAATCTAATCAACTGTTTGGTCTAGAATCCTTATAGAGAATGTGAAAACGATTCAATTGGTACATAAGAATGATTAATAATGAAATTATCGACAATTTCAAATACGGGTGTGCGAATATCGTTCCAATTGAGTATTGATATTCGAATCGAATAATTCGAATTTTTGAATTAATCGAAATTTGACGAATAACTCGAAAGAATTCGAATAATTCGAATTTTTTCGAATTATTCGTCGAATTTCGAATAATTTGAAAATTCAAATTATTCGATTCGAATTTTGAATCGAATATTACTATTCGATTCGAAATGAATAATTCGTAAGTTCGAATTATTCGCACACCCCTACTTATAATTATTATTCTCGTGAAAAAACTTTCTCAAGTAGTCATATCAGAAAGTTTAAGGTGTTGATATATGGCCCAACATGTCTATATAAAATTTTTGATACATCCTGATATAATTTTTTGATTGAGGGTAGTGTTTAAAATATCCGACAGGTGGCGCATGATCGTTAAATTTTCTCCACAAAGGAGAATTAAGTTGTAGGTGTTATAGTATGAAACAAAATAAACTTATTCAACATAAAAAGACTTATTTATGTTTTTTCTAAAAATTTTAATTTAATTAAATTAAAAAAAATTAAAATAATAAAATATTATTAATGGAAAATTGTCATAAAAAAATTTTCCCTTGATATTAAAACCAAGAAAAAAATTTATGAAAAAAAGTAACACACACTAAGTATAAAATAATTTAATAATCGAAAATATATAAGAGGAATACATTGGATTTTCTTTATTCTCGATCCTTTATTCCCCAGACCAATTGCACATGAATATCTACCTAATAGTTGAATAAACTAAGAATTGAGAAACCCACGGTCAGTTAATCGGCAATATCCCTCTCCTAAGGCTCTTTTGAATTACCGCGTAATTGCATGCGGAGTCAGTCCAGGTACAGGTGAAATAGATGCATCCTGTAATAAACCTCGGAATATATTCTCGGGATATTTCCGTACAA